GGGCAGTGGCCTGTGGCTGGTGAAAATATCTGCAGGGCCAAGTGGAGACAGTGCGACAGGCATGAGGGGACTTTCCTGGAGAGGGGTGACAAGCCCCGGGGCATGCTGCAGGGATCTGAATCCCATCACTGGCACTGCTGGAGATTTGCCAGTCCTGCCTTCACCTCGCGGGGCAGGGGCAGCTCCCAGCTCCACCAATGGATCTGGTGCCCGGGTTGTGAAACGCTGGAGTGTGGAGGGAAGAGGCAGCCCACGCACCAGGGGCCAGCCTTGCCACACACATGGGGACAGGAAAACCCGCCCGGGGTGCCACCCAAGAGTGGGGACCCCATCCCCGACACCCAGCTGGGCACTGCATGCTCCAGTGCCAGGGCTCCTCCCAGCAGGGTGTATGGCCACCCCGCTCCTCCTGAACTAGCCCCAGGGGCTGAGGCTAGGGACCGTGACACCCAGGCTGCAGGGCAGCTACAGCAGAGGGGCCCAGAGGAGTGTCACAGCATCTCTGAGCCACGAGGGACGGTCCCCTGGGGTTGTGGTAAGCGCTTGTCTCCCTGCCCCGGCACTGCCGTGCGTGCAGCCTGTGGCTAACCACATCCCATGGCCTTCCCGAAGACGAGCCCCGTGACCTTGCTGCGACTCCCTCTCCCTTCCTCTCCCCTTCCCACAACCCTGTTCCTTCCACAGGCCCAGACACGGTGGCACAAAGGGATGGCCTGACACTTTGGGCAGCCGTCTGCCTGGTGAAACGAGCCCCACACATGCCTTGGCTCAGTGCTGGCACTGCCACTGCCTGTGCCAGTGCTGGCTTGGGCATCACCACCGGGAAGGTTTTCCCTGTAGAGGATGATTGTAGGACAGGGATGGGGCTGCTGGTTGCTTCCCTGTAGGATGGAGCAGGAGCACTGGCCAGGTTTGCAGGCAGCAGCCCAACAGCACCCGGCACAGCTCTGTGCCCAAACAGCCACCTCTGGACACAGACACTTGCATCCTGTCCATGGACCACCCATGCTTGCAACCCCTCAACTGGTACGAGCATTGCTGCCTCCAGGCCGCGTGCTGCTGCCGGCAGAGTCCAGCCAACCCCACAGGCTGGCTCTGCCTGCCCGGCATGCGCAGCCATGCCTCGGGCACCTGCAGGGCTGCAAGGACTCTGCTCTCCCTCCAGCATCCGAGGTGCTCTGGCTGGGACCTGCAAAGGCCTGAGACCCTTCTGAATCTATGCCCGAGGAGCAAACATGCCAGCAGAGAGGGATGCCATGGGGCTGAGCACAGTGATGATTCCAGCAGTGCCACGTGCTGCCAGCTGAGGGTAACACCGGTGCGAGATGGGGCAGTGCCACTGCTGAGCTGCCCCGCTCAGCCCTCAGACTGCCCCTTCCCCCCTGCCATGGACATGGCAAATGCCCGGGACCATGGCAGAGCCACCCCCACCCCTCCATGGCCCAGCACACAGCATGGGCTTATGGTGCTGCCATGCAGGGTCTCAGCCTTCCCAGGGCGCAGCACCCAGCTCCATGCTGGCCCCAGCTCTCCACTGTGCCCATGCCAGGCTGTCCTCTGCCACCAGCACTGAAGCTCTGTAGGTATTTATAGGCATTTCTGGTGCCCAGCTCTGCAGATTCAATTCCTCTTGTGCCTCTCTCTGTGCCTGCAGGGATGGATGGTAGATGCTGCCCAGCGCAGCAGCTGGTAGCCCCCGGTGACCCTGTCCTTCCTTTCTCCTGCCCCTTCCCCACCCCACAGCTCTTGCCCACGCATCTCTCCACCATCACATCACCCTGACCTGCTCCCAGGCCGTGCAGTGTGGCCTGGGCATGCTGCTGCTCGAGAGAGAAGAGCCTGTGTGGTCAGCACAGCATGCCTTTGGCATCCCATTCAAACCTGGGGATGCTCTGCAAAGGGGTTGGGGCTACAGAGCCTTTTCCCAAACCAAAGACCCTCCAGTGTTGGCCCCAGGCTCTGGGAGAGCCCTGCAGTGCTGCAGGGTGATGCCACCCCCTGGGAATGCCAGCCCAGCCCCCAGCTCCCTGGTGCCGAGCGTAGGTCCTACCTGGAGTATGCGGCCAGCAGGGCATGGGGCTGGGCTGCTCCCTTGCCTCTGCCATCAGGACTTCTTCATCTGCCCCACACCACGCTCTGGCACCCGCCGCGGACACAAGGTCCTTCCTCATTTGGGGATTGGTTTGCATGCACTGACTGACAGACACCAAGCTCTGCCACAGCTACCAGACATGGTGACAGCACTGTGACCCTGCGGGAGCCCCGCGCCAGCTGCCACAGTGCCCAACCTGTGTGCTTGCACTGTGGTGCTCTGCACAAGGCTGCCGGCGGGATCCCTGCTTCTGGGCCATGAAAAGCTATCACATGCCTTGCTAGAAAAGTGGCCTTGGGGACATAATTGTGTTGGTGGCACCCGCAGCTCTGGCACCCAGCACCCAGCGTTCACCCCCCATCTCCTCTCCCCACTCCTCCCGTGACCCCGTGGCCACACAGGCCCCACACTGCCCATCACATGGTGTGCACGCACCCCTCTGCTCTTACACCTCCACCCTGCACACCCATGTCCCGCCAGAGCACACATCGCTCGCAGGCAGCGCTCGGCTATCGCAGGACTGTAACCTCTGGTCATTGGGGCGAGCTGCTGCATGCAGCATCCCAGGAAATGCCCCAATGGGACAAAAACTCCCACCCACAAATCCCCAAGCACCCTGCAGGGTGCTGCCCTGCCCCAGCACATGCAAGGCTCTCTCCAAGGCTCAGCAGCCCACGCCTGGGCAGACAACCAG